TGGCAACCATGGGCTGCAACCAAGACGGGCCATGTTTAGTTCTGATATTCCTGGGGTTGCTATGAGCCAGAACCGACTCCACAGGACCCGCTCCCAAGTGTGCAACCCCAAGCCTCCCATCGAATGCTTCTTCACATCTGTAGGTCAACCCGTTTGCCTGTAGCAGGCAGGCTCCCTGATGTCTGTCCGTCCAAGGCTCTGTGTGAGTCTCTGTGTCAATCCATCCCCTTGAGGGGCTTCCTGTTTTCCACGGAGAAAGATGTCCTCCTCAGGAGACTTGTTCTCCTAACAGGATAACGCGCCGTGAGTTATCAGCTAGTTTGTGGGTTCACTATGTTCATGCCAGAGAAAATGAAAGCCAAGTTATGCAAATAAGACATCAGGGAGCTTCGAGGGAGACACTTCTTTGTAATGTTTCTGGGTTGTCTGACTTTGGTTACAGCCATTAAGTACTGACCTTGGCCATTCAGTGACAAAGGACCGGCCTTTCTGCATTAAGCACTAGGAGGGGATGCAGGCATGAGCCCCGAGGCTGGACTCACCTTCCCAAAGCTGGCTGCGTTGACCGGCTGGGTATCATTCTTCTCGCAGAAGTCCAGGTAATGCATGTAGAGGGCGCTCCGTGGGATGCACACCCCTTCGGCGATCTCATAGTTCTCCTCCAGCCTGGGGGGGATGGAAGGGGGGAGGAACAAATGGCCAGTGAGCAACGGCCACTGCTGGGCTACCTGCTTCCCAGTGCTCCTCCCGAGCTGTGGAACCCTTGGGAATGATGCTCTTCCTGCAGATGGGGAAACCAAGGCCCAGGGAGATGGAGCGACAGGCCCAACCTCATGTGTAGAGTTAGTAGGACAGCAGGGACCTGACCTCCCAGCGTTTATGGATTACCTTTTCAGTGCAGTGGCTTAAGCATGGGGCCACTAATCAGATGGTCAGTGGTTCGAACTCACTAGGCGATCCACAAGAGAAAGATGAGGCAGTCTGCTTCTGAACATCGACAACCTCACAAACCCCATGGGGCCGTTCCCCTGGGTCCTAGAGGTTTGTCACCTGTCCGACTTGACGCCACAGCAGTGGGGCCAGGCTCCCCTGTGCTGTCACTTGTCTGCCACATTCTGGGTGGAACCCAAATGCCCAAACCCATGCCGTGTTGTCGATCCAGACTCGTAGTAACCCTACAGGACGGAGCAGAACAACCTCGCAGGGTGTCCAAGTCTGTCATGAGATGCCATCTCGTTCTCCCACTGGGCGGCTAGTGGGTTCCAACAGCCAGCCTGGCCATTCACAACTGAGCGCTGCACCTCTGAGCCATCAGGGTACCTTCTGGGTGGAATGGGTCCCTCTCACCTTCCAAAAACTCTTCAGGGCTTCACAGGTGCCCCATTCTCCAGGCCTCAGGCCACCCACTCACTCGCGTGGCCGTTGCTTATGGCAAAGGATTTCCAGCAGAAAGGAGGCAGCAAGAGGGAAGGGGCGCCCATTCTGTGCAGAGACACTTTGGCTCCAAGGACCAGCGAGATGATCTAGGAAGACGAGGGCCCAGGAGAGGCCGCTCCTGTTGGACAGCCCCTAACACACAGACAGAGGGATCACGTACGTAAGGGAGGGTCTGGACGTCTAGAGGTGCACCTTCTCCTCTGCTGAGCTAGGATTAGACATACGTCATCCACTCCCTTCTCGTGAGTAGAGCTGAGGATTTAAGAGCCGGAACACTCTCTGCCTGGGTTCAAATCCCAGCCTGGCCATTTACGGAGTGGGTGGCTCTGGGAGAGCGACTGGGCCCGGGGCCTCCCTCTCCTTGTGCAGCTGCGGATGCTAACCGCCTCATCAGGCTGTGGTGGAAAACAGAGGAAGACGTGTGTGAGGGAACCTGCCACAGCAGCCGGAATGTGGAAAGCACCGTGGGGGATCCTCGGCCTCATCATTGCTCTTCCCTCCTCCCCATAGAACATGAAACATTCCAGGCAGCTGCCTGCCCAGACTCTGGGTGAGATGCTGGGATCGACACGGAACCAAGACCCGGTTACCCTTGACTGTGAACCGCAGCATGCAGACATTCACAGGAACCCTGCCCCCTTTATCATCATGGGCGTGCTGGGAGGTTCAACATTGTTCTGACAATAATGTTGTTGCAGACAACGGTTTGGGGATGCCTCCTTAGAGCCTGCGTCACCTGCTACCCAATAAACTCATCAGTGGGAACTATGTCTCCTTGGATCATGAACTAGACTTGAGAAAAACAACCAGGAACCAAGTGTGGAGTTCCATGTGACTGGAAGAGCCCCCTTTCCCCCTAAACCCGTGTGTGTGTGTGTGTGTGTGTGTGTGTGTGTGTGTGTGTGTGTGTGGTCAAAGACAAGACCTGCTTCTAAAGCAATGAAATGAGTATCCCCAAGCTGCTCCTTAACTCTCTCTGAGGGCACTGGCCAGAGGAACGGGTCCAGCGATGTTGTAACTAGAGTGGAATGGGGACACGGCCTCCCGAGGTGCCCACTGGAAAGCGCAGGCTAACCCTGTGGATGAATTCCACCAAGGGACGTGCTCGGGGAAATGACGAAGCCTGGCACCGAAGGGCCCCGGGTCCTCTCATCCATGGCCCCTCCTCTGGGAAGGGAAATGCTGAGTCACTCCTGATGATGATGATGTTTAGAAATATTCCAGAAAGGGGTTGATGCAATCCTTTCCAGGCAACCGTCGTCTTCGAGGCTGGGGTGCTACCTGAGTCACATGGGAATCCAGCCTGTTCCTTGGCACCCAGTAGGGTCTCAATAGGTGCTGGATAGAGGGATCATTTCAGTCATTCATTCATGTAACCACTCTCTATTGATCTCTTATTCCACTCAAGTGCTGGCGATACCATGATGAGCAAATAAACCTTGCTTGCATGTGGTGGCTAGTCCAGGGGTGGGAAGATGGATACAGACCCAGGCCCATCCTTCAGTCAGCAAACAATTGCTCAGCACCACTTCTAGAACGTATGGAAAGACTGCGGAATGACAGTGGGGTCAGGCCATGAGATGACTTACTTTCTACTGCCTGTGTCCCCAACCAACTGAGTACAACTCCAGATGGGTTCCTTTGTAGGGAAATGGTTTTCTGTTGAGACTGGGTTTCTTAGCACAGTCCTAAGCTTTGGAAATAAAAATGGTCCTGTTAGGTTAGCCTGGACCCCTGGCTTCCATCCACACGATGTCTTCTTTATGGGCAGGAGTCCGGAGCTTCTGCACACGCTGGCAGGAACTGTCGGTGTGAGACAGCTTTCACACGTTAGGGTCTCACAAACATGCTTTGTTAGCCTGGAACAACGCTGGCCCAACTGTTAAAAATTCAGGACATTTCACATAAAAATCTGGATTTCTGGCTTCTTTTGAAAAAGCTGAGATCTGGCAGCGCCAGCCCGTATTCCCGCATGACAACAATTGGCTAGAGCAGCATGTGCCCTCAAGTTGGCCCGAGTCCTCTCTCCTCCCTGTTCTTCTTCCACCCAGCCTCGTTTCTGCTCCCTGCCTGGCTCCTGTAGGCACTTGTGTTGGCATAAGATACAATCCATGCCCCAGTTCACTTTGCAGTCAGTTTGGAGAGAACAATGCACAGAAACAAGAGCCGTTCGGTACCAGACACGCCCGCCCACAGGTGCGGTTGCAGGCGGGAGAACAGAGAGTAGAGTGTGTAGGTGGGAAGGGATAATGAGGGTTCCATGGGGCAATTGGGTGTGGAACTGTTCAACAACAACGAGCCATGTGTGGAACTCTTAAGAGCCAAGCACCCCATCGCTATGACTTCCTTTGGTCTTCACACCAACCGTGGCAGTGGGTCAGACTAATAATCAGAGCCGTCTAAAAAAGCACAGTCAGATAGAGTGGGGACCCAAAACCCACCTGTAGACAACTGGACATCCCCTTACAGAAGGGTCGCAGGGAGGAGACGAGCCAGTCAGGGTGCAGCATAGCATCAATGAAACATACAACTTTCCTCTCGTTCTTAAATGCTCCCCCGCCCCACTATCATGACCCCAATTCTACCGTACAAATCTGGCTAGACCAGAGCATGTACATGGGTACAGATAAGCACTGGAAACACAGGGAATCCAGGACAGATAAACCCCTCAGGACCAATAATGAGAATAATGATACCAGGAGGGGAAGGGGAAGGTGGGGGGATATAGGGGGAACTGATCATAATGATCTACATATAACCCCTCCCAGGGGGATGGACAACAGAAAAGTGGGTGAAGGGAGACATCATTCAGTGTAAGACATGAAAAAATAATAATTTATAAATTATCAAGGATTCATGAGGGAGGAAGGGTGGGGGGAAAATGAGGAGCTGATACCAAGGGCTCAAGTAGAAAGAAAATGTTTTGAGAATGATGAGGGCAACAAATGTACTTGACACAATGGATGGATGGATGGATGGATGGATTGTGATAAGAGTTGTACGAGCCCCCAATAAATGATTTAAAAAAAATAACCACAGTCCGAAAGTCCCTGAGGAGGGAGGGTGATGAAACCGGCTTGCTTACTGGGGGCACGTCCTCAGGAAAGGGCAAGTGCCAGGCAAGGGCATCGTGTTCGGGGAAGCGTCATTGAGAACGAGGGGGACCCCCATGAGATAGATAGACAGTGGGCCCAAACTTACCAGTGGCCATAAAGATGATGACACGGGACCAGGCAGCATTCCATTCTGTTAGGTCAGGGCCCACGGGCCACTCACAACCGTGTGATGCCCATGCTCCAGCCTGGAACACTGAGGGTCATCCACATTTGTAAGTGGCCATGCAGTCAGTCAATAGAACAGTGTGTCTTCCTCCAAACCACTCTGGCATTCGGCCCCAGGGCACTGAGGGGGTCCCAGGCAAGAGGAGCAACAGGAATGGTGGATGGGCGTAGAGGCTTGGAGGTGTGAAAGGCATACCCATTGAGAAAGGACCATGCAGGGGGCTGGGGGGAATCTTCCAATGTCCCCCACAAAAACACGGCCTGATGTGAAAAGTTAGCACGCTGCACGTATCCCTGAGTTCAGGAGCTCATCTGAAAACATTACTTCCAGAAGGCAACAGTGAAGTACTCAGAGAGGCCTGAGACAGAGACAGTCCACAGCAGGGAGGCATGCACATTTCTGGGATGCTGTGGGATCCCTGGTGGTGATATCTGGCAGGCCTTGTGCTAACCACAGTTAGTGGTTCAAACCCACCAACCACTCCTCGGCAGAAAGAGGAGGCTATCAGCTGTACTAAAAGATTTACAGCCTGGGAAACTGTAAGGAGGAATCAACTCTGAGCCAGGGAGTTTGTTTGTTCTAATAATAATTCAATGACAGCGGTCATCAATATTAACATAAAGCTTAATAGCCTCTATTTACCAGCAATTGTTCACATCTGAAGGAAGGTGGCCCCAAAGGCCACAGGTCTTATTTTAGATAACTGACGACTCCATAAAATGATTTCTTTGAAAGGGGGGGGGGCAATTTTCATTTGAATGCATTTTCAAAACCAAACCAAACCAGTTGCGGGTGATACCAACTCATGGCACTGACAGGTGCTCACTCTGGTTAGTTGGAACTTGGTCCATTCCAAGCAATGCAGAGGGGGAAAATATCCCTCTTTGTTTATCTCTTGAAATACATTTCCTAAAAGTTCTTTTAGCCTGAACAATTCATAGACACAT